ACTAATTTTTATAGTTATTATGTTAATTAAATTAAAAATATTTACTTGATAGACTACAGAACTTGTAAATTAGCAAATTATTTTTTTTTTTTTTTTTTTTTTTTTTTTTTTTAGACATAATGTTGTAATCTTGTTTTTAATATTTTTAATATAATTCAACTATTTCACACACCTAGTACTTTTAATATTTTCAATACATTTTCTTTGTTTACTGATTATAATCAGTTAATTATTATCTCCAAAGCAGTTCTATGATTCAGATTTTCTGAATAGGGTTACATTGAAAACTTCATGTTCTTACAAAGAACAGTTTTAGTGAATTTGTAGCCCATGTATAAAGATTAAAAAAAGTCTTCTTTTTTTTTTAAACATTTTAATTTAATGTATAACAGCAATCAGAATTAGAAAATTTCCAGTTTCAAGGGACTCCAGTTGTATTCAATTTTTAGAATCATGTTTTAAGAAATGAGACTAATTATGATAATCATCTGAAAGGATCTTTAGTTTGGTGTCCTTGAGATCACCAAAGACAAGACCTTTTTTCTGTTTAATTCTGCGTATAATTAATATTTGTAGAACTACAGGGTGTGGCAGAAATACCTCCCACATAATGGTAAGATGTTAGCTAGATGAAAAAACTATTGCCACTAATGTCTTACTATTAATAAAATATTAAATTAATACCAAACGAAATAAAGTTTTGCTTTTCAAAAGCTTTTTATTCATATAAGTTTATAGTATCATTATTCAGTTATGTTTTGGAACTGCTGGTCAAACAAATATTACACAATGCACTAAGTGATGTTCTGAAGGTGAACAGGACTGGAGAATATTCTACTTGAGAAAGAGCTTGCTTCTCCATATTGTAATAGCAATTATGATTACAAGTGTTGTCACTGAGCATAATCACTGATTAAAGTGCTTTCTCTCTTCCCTTCAAACTAATAACAGTCCTGTCCAGCTTGCAACAATTCATAATGAAAATATTACTTTTGCATCTTCCAAACTCAGAACCTTTTCCCCTTATTGGATTCTTTAAGGCTAAAATGTTGAAAGAGTTGTCCTGTATCTAGCCATGATTTTATTCTTTTTGGATTCTCACAATAAATCCATTTTCACTGCTATTTGAAAATAACTTTCTTCTGTAATTAAACTAATGCATGTTTCTCTAAATTCATGTGGAACCCTTTTTTCTTAAGGCTTCTAAATGACAAATTACAAATTGATTATACAAGCAATCATGAGCGGAGTAAACTTTAAAAACACTAAGACTTTTATAAAATTGACCAAAAAATAGATTTGGATTGGGAACATTTGCATTAATTTAATACAAAACTAAACAAAATAAAATTTGCTAGAAAGATGATTGACAGAAGATGAAAAATTTCTTCACCATCCTACTATCATTTTTAAATTCAAGATTCTCCCTCTCAAATACTCAGCATGTAGAGAAAATACAAAATACAAAATTGTTTAGTTTCATGAAAGCTGACAAAAGAACATTTTTGTTTGCTATAATTCTATTAGTTTAAAGGAAGTAAATCTTTAAATTCCAAAATGATTATTCAGAAAAAGAAAAATCTTTGTTGCTGATTGCTTTTAATTTCTTCTTTTTACAGGAGGAAGTAGTTTAGCAGCCAAAAACAAAGCCCCCAAATCCACAAAAGGTTACCATTCCTCAAAAAATGCTTACATGTTGGTATACACAAAAAGGAAATTAGGACAACAACCAAGTAAGTATTTTCATTTTTTTTTTTTTTTTTTTTTCAGTGCTAACATGTTTACTGTTTTCTAACTATCACTGTCACAGACAAGGTTGAAGATTATTCTCCCCAACATCCACATTAAGGATGGAAGACATCTACCAAAACTCTTACTGAGTTTTCCACAGTAGCACATCATAAAAGATACAAATATTTGGTCCACTTCTGTATTATTTGCTGCTATAATTGGAACAACACCCTTTTCAGATTGTCCTTGAAGGAGACAATCTGCAAAATGCTTTAGCATTACTTGTTACCATTTCTCAAACATTCCGGTGCAGTGAATGTGGTAGATGGGCTTTTCTCTATGATTTTCAATTGCCAAGTGCCAAACCAAGAAAGAATTTGAAATGTTCATCTAATTTAGTAGAAAAGAAAATAATTGTAGGTGTGATTTTCAACATCCTGTGTATACATTAGAAATTAGACAAATATTTATTGATATATCTCGTGTGTGTATATATATATATATATATATATACACACACACACACACACACACACAGTTATATAAAACTACTAATTCAGGAATTTTGGAAAGTTAATAAAAATTGATAGACAAAAGTTGTTGATGCTATTCAACGAAACATATTTGAAATTTATATATATAAATTTACTTAACTGTAAATACCAAATCCTGTTTAGTTGTTGTATCCCAGACTCCGGAGTTTTTCTTGGTGCTTATATATATATATATATATATATATATATATATATATATATATATATATATATAGTGATGCTGATAGGTTTTAATGTAGAGAGTCCCTTGGACCCACAGTTGGTGATTTGGGTGCTTCCCTGGGAAATTCATTGGGTTCCAACTAGTTTCTTAATAAATATTTGTGTTAAACTGCAGGACTACAGATTTTTTTTTTTTTTTTTTTACCATCATCCCCAAAAAAATCTTAAATGTGCTGAATAATTACAATTTTAAAGATGCTTGACAGAACAATTAAATTAATAAATTCAAAACCAAAAGAATCAGTATTTACACTTAAATAGTTTCTTAATTGAACTGTGATTTTTTTTTTTTTTTTTTTTATATATAACAGAACAAAGTTTTTGAATTGACAGAACAAAAATAGTTTTTTTGGTTTGTTTTCAATTGAATCACTAAATTTATAACAAAAACAGTATATAAAGCAACTCCCAGCAAACTTCCATTGCATGTCAAATAAATTAAAAAAATAAAAAAATCAACCAAGCAAGTTTCTGATAATGCAACATTGATGTCTTTCATCAATGTCCACGCATCCCACTGCCCAATGAAAAAAAGAAAGAGTAATTGAAAGAAAGGAAGGACTAGTAAAAAGTATTTGAAGAATAAATGCAATGTATTGCTTTACATGGGAAAATTCAGATGTGTCCATGGAACGCACAGATGGGAAAGTTACTGCGTCCTTTAAGATTTTTATGCTTTAGCTACACGTCCTGGATCCCAAATAGCATATATATATATATATATATATATATATATATATAAATATATAAATGTGCCATTAATTTTACTTAAATAATATCTAAATATAAAAGTTTAAAAATTGTAATTTACATATACTTTGATATGGAAAAATAATTTTACTTACTATGAGTAATTTTCCTTCTGTTATAAAGTAATATAGTCTATTAAAACTAAACAATGAAAATATTTAAAATTTTAAAGTTGTAATTCTGAAATTGTAATTAAAATTGTAGTTAAATTGAATGAATTCTAACCTAAATTTCTTTTAAATAATACTACACGCACTAAAAAGAATCCAAATAAAAAAAAAACAAAAAAAAACACCTATAGTAAAATAAAATTAATATGAAATGCCATAAGATGTAAGCTTTTGAATGACCCATGTCCTTAGTAATGAGAAACATTATAATACTAGGTTTATTTATTAAAGACATTTTTATTTATGTTTAACGTTGTTATTTTATAAATACAAGTATTTAAAAAATGCTCTGTTTAAACATAAATAAAAATGTCTTTAATAAATAAATTGTCGGACCTCGTCCATTTCTTAACATAATACTAGGTTTATATACAAAATAAAAGTTTACTAAATCAGTGAAATTAAGTAACCATTTTTGCCGTCATAGTCATAAATTTAAAAAAAAAAAAATGTAACCTCATATACATACTTAAATTTGATGTTAAAATAATCCTACATAATATAATGGATTCTAATACATTTAACTGTTCTTAAAAAGAATATAGTAAAATAAAAATTAAAATATTTCAAATCGTAGTTAAATAAAAAGTATTAGAAAAAAAAAAAAAAAAAAAATCTTTAAATTTAAAAATGACGTTAAAATTTTTTTACCGTTAACAATTTAAAAAAAAAAAAAACATTCAGACGACATCCATTCAACTGATGTCAGGTTTCATTGTAAAATACATCCCTACCCCTTACCAAATTGTAGCTAATAACTGATACAATGATACTGACATAAGGAAAATCTAGACATCCCTTTTCAATTTAAGTAGAATATTCTGTAACCATGGAAACGTGATTTTAGCTGTGTCTTTAAAAGCCGGTAATTTTTAAAAGTTACTCCAAAATTCGCTTGAAGATGAAATGGAACTAATGCTTTTAATTTAATTGCAAAATTAAATTCAGGTTTTTAGCTTCTATTTTTGAAACATGGTTGGAACTGTGTAGCGAAAAAAAATATTTTAAATCAATTAATTTATAATATATATATATATATATATATATATATATATATATATTGATATATATATTGATTCTATATTCAACACCATCACTTGATAAGACACCAGGAGTGTTGAAACAAAATGGCTATTTTTGTAGTGATTTTATGACATATTTGTTATAATTTTTGAATAACTAATTTTTTATATATATACATATATACACACACACACACACACATGTACATATGTGTGTGTCACTTGCAAATAGATTCTGAATGTCCTGATGTTTTGGTATCTAAATTTTTCTTTCTCTTCCCAGTCTCTCAACCTTTTGAGGATGTTTGGAATGAAGATATCATTCCTCCCCACATACGGGAGTATGTGTCCATGGATAACAAACGGTTTGAGAATTGGATTCAAGAACTTGTTAATATGAGGGTAAGTTTTGAAATTTCACAACAGCAATCATCTCAGACAATGACAAAAATTGGTAAAATTTAAAACTATTTATCATAAAACCTCTCTATTTAGAGGAAAATGTAACTCTAAAAATCATGCTTGAAGCTATTTTAATTCAGTAATTTAATTATAGTCGAGAAATAGGTTCTGTTAATTTTTCTTTATTTACATCATCCTCAGAATACTGTATCTACAATTTTTCTTTTGTTTCTACCATTAATTTGAAAATTACCCGAAGAATAAGAAACTTGATAATTTTACGATAAAATATGAATCCATATTGAATCTTTTAAACACAAATATTTACTTATTCATCTATGCCAGTTGTTGTCAAATGGTGTGGTGTTCCTCATAGTTGCAGTCGAAGAGGATAGAAGGTGAGGCAGAATGATTGAAAAACAAGCAAAGACTTAGAAAGAGTTTCAAAAAATTCATATGCCAAAAATGAATGATTTCAGAATTTAAAATATTATTATGGATTACTTATAATTGCCTGCATAAATAGTTATTGACCGATTTTATCATTGTGCTATTTTTGCATTATATCAAGTACTAAGAATATAGTAACTAGACTCTGCAAATTGGAGGAGAGAGTTGTCAATGATAATATTCTGACTTTGAATCTGCGGTTATCTCCCTTTGAGCCTCCGTTTTTTATTTTTAAATGTACTCTTTATCACATGAAATTTGGTGAGGTGTAAGCAAATTTTAATTCCAAAAATGTGGCCCAGAGAAATAAATGTTTGGGAACCACTGATCTACACAATGGATTCTGACTCAAAATGACTTGATTACAAAAGAAAACTGCTTAAAGTTACTGAAATACAAAAAATATCTAAGTTCTTTTTTGGCTTGTTGGAAAATATGAAGAAATCTAAAGAAAGCCACTATGACCCTTTTGAGCCTGATTAAAGATGTTGAGCTTAAAAACAATTCAGATGCTCTGAAAACTCTTGATACAGATCTAATTTTGTTAAAGTTGTCCATTCAAGATTCCCCCAGCCTCTATTGTCTTTATCTAAATTTTTTTTTAAAAACTTAATATTTTTTCTCTCTCTCTGTTGTTTTTTGTTTTTTTTTATCTATCTTTTTATTTAATCTTGTACATTCTCTTCAGGACCAAAGTGTAGAAAGTGGCCGTGAGCAACAAGAAGAAATTAGATATGTTTATTATTCACTTGTGCCTAAAGGAAGTATGTATATTTTTATTACATATGTATTTTCTCACTGATATTCTGTATAACTAAGATGAATAAATAAATAAATAAAACAGTTTTCCTATATCCTTTCAAGTATGACACATGCACAGTTTACAATATGAAATATATTTGAATATATTAGACAAGAATTCTATCACATCCTGTTCCTTTGAATTGATATTCTCTATCTGTTAAACCTCCGTAAATTATAATCTTTCCAAGTGTTATAATTTTCAAATTGAATTTATATTGCAAGCACTATTTATTGTTTTGTTTATGAGATCATTATTGACTTGCACATTGAATATAGAAGTCAATAATTTTATCATCCATAAATAATACACAATTACATTTAATAATCACTTTGAAAATGTGATATTCTGAAGAAGACATTAGTTGACATATTAAAAACAATAAATATAAAGAAAATAGTCCAAAATACAGGGTGTGGCAGAAATACCACCCACATAATGGTAAGACATTAGTGGCAATAGTATCTTCATGTAGCTAATGTCTTACTATTGTATGGGAGGTATTTCTGCCATACACCTTGAAATAATGAAAAGACAGCCTCACAGAATTTCAGGAAACAATTAGTAGAAAAAATATAAATATAATGAAAACTTTTTTTTTTTAATGAGAAAATCTGTTGCTGCATTATGTAAGGCTCAAAAATTATATTTTTAGATTGTATAAATGTATTAGAATGGTTAAGTTTGGATTGGCTGTCACGTTGGCTTACAGATCCCCTCAAAGCTCAGGCAATCAACCATGAAAGCTTTTTGTGTTCTCACAGCAGGTAAGAATTTGTATTTATCAATTTTATTCTTTGAAAAGGATATACAATATGCTTAAATCAAAGTCTAAAGTTCTAATAACAATCGACATTCAGAAATGTAAATACATCTGAATGTTGATTGTGAACCCGATTTAAGCGGGTTGACAGATAGATGCTGCGCGGTATGAATACAGTTTCACCCTTCCGCAACCGGTAAGAATTGTCGCTTCAATTAAATTTGGTGCCAAAAAAAATTAACCACCATGCAACAAAATTTACCATTGCACTGTTTCAGGGGAACCAGGTTACGCAAAAATGTCATAATGGGCGCGCCCCCACTTTCAGTCTCAGTGTGTGAGGCGGAATGGCCAACAGGTTCTAAATAATTCAAAAATTCGACCGGGTAGTCCGTAAGGTTGTCCGGGTCGGGCGTCCTGTCGATGGATTTGTAGATGTAATCGTCCCCCACTGCAGGAGTTGCTCATTAATGCTAGTAACTGTGGTGTTTTTTTGGAGCATGAACAGCTCTTTCAGAGATCCACTCAAGGTCACAGTAGTTGGCACTAAGATGCGGAATGACGGCATCTCTGAGCTGTTGATGTGTGTCAACAACTGAACACAGTGTTCCCACGTTAATGTAGCCTTCTGTGTCTGAAGGTGTTCGGCTCTCCGTGAGGGCTATAAGGCCCCTTGAAAAATCAGTGGACACATTGTCTCCAGTAGTATGAGCGTGCATGTTGGTGGTCAGGTGCAATGATTGGACATGGGCCCAGAGGTTGGACGACTTAAGGCACGCACGAACAGCATCGACCCTTGGCTCTTCAGGAATGACAAGTAGGGTTTGTCAAAAGTCACCTGACCGAAGGAGAGTCAAGCCGCCCATGAGATCAGTGGAGTCCCTAATGTCTTGAAGGGACCTATTCAACGCCTCGAGTGCGTGTTTGTGAGCCATTGGGCACTCATCCCCCACTATGAGTTTACGTCTTAATACGCCAACCTGACCTGAATCTTATGAAATGCTGCAAGTTGGAATTTCGGCCTTGGCAAGGTCATGCGGAAGTCTAAACACAGAGTGCACCGTCTGACCACCTGGCAGCAATGTGGCCGCAACCCCGGATGAGGCAACAGCAAGCGTGATGTCTCCGTGTTGCCTGATTTCAGCTAGAATTAGTTTTGTAACAAACGTCTTCCCAGTGCCACCAGGTGCGTCTAGGAAGAAGATGCCACCGCGCTGTTGTCGGACTGTGTTAATCACCATGGTGTAAGCTGTTCTTTGTTCTGGTATGAGGCGTAATTCATTCTCTCGGACATAGCGGTCAAGGTCAGCAGTGCAATAAGATGTTTCGTGCAGTATTTCTGGTGATAAGTCGGCGGTGCCATCTCACACTGGCAGAGGTAACCCATATGTAGTTAGCACGGCTCCACCCATTTCAAGAGCAATGTCTTCAACCTGAATGAGCGCCCTATTGTAAACTCAGCTGACAGACATTGCTGCTGTGCTGCGTACAAAATGTCTTCCAAAATGAAGTCTTTGTACTTAGCCCAGACAGCAGAGGAGTCATCCCTCTGCCATGGCAGCATCCCATTGAGAATCATCCTCTAAAAGGCCACGTTTAAGGCAAGCCTTCCAGTAGGTGTTGCACACAACGCCGTCAACAGTGCGAATGGCCTTGAAGCTTGTCGAACCAACAACCCCATGAAGCAGAAGCTGGAGGAAGAAGCATTCCTGCTGATTTGGTGACACAGTGCAGACCCAACCAAGGCAGATGTCAAACTTAATGCCAGGGTACCCATCAACGCTCTGACCAGACTTCCTGCGACTCCAAATATTGTTCGCCCAAACATAGTATGATGGAACTTGTGGATATAGCAAAGTTTGAGCGAACTCGTCGTGAAGGCACAATTTAAAAAAGGCTGTTAAAGTTGTGTCTTTCGGGTTTTCAGCGATAGCTACCGCAGTTCGTTCAGTGAAGTAAATCTGCTGTCCATTCTCTAAGTGCACTGCCAGCTGTACAATTGCTGGATGCCTCTGGTGAATTGGGAAGCCGAAAACGCGCCAAAAAGCCTCATTGCTGCTGAGGTACTGCCCAGCCAAGAACTGCGAAACTTCGTCTCGGCCGTTGTCCCCCTTAACGCTGAACATGGCGGCATCGCTGCCCTTGTTAACATACTTACATATGTATTTAATGGAGCAGATGGAATTGCAGAACTCAACATTTATATGAGCATTGAATATTTTTAGGAGAAGGGGACCACCCAACTGTTGTCAACACGGTGCCCCCCAACTTGCATCATTCGCCCACCCCTGGCCGGAGACTTTTGCTGGTACAAAGGATATCTGTCCCCACCGGTTTGCATCTCATAATAAATGTCTTCAGAAACCCCTTAGAGCACGGTGCGCCGTTTTGACAGCAGGGGCGTGCCATGTAGCCTGGTCCGCATGGCCCATGGACCATGTGGGATCTCACAGCCTCAAATAGGTGCCTGTCCTCATCCAGATCCGGAATTTTGGCAGAAATGACACTGTCAATTTGACTGGCGTCAATTTTTGTAGAAAGCCAAATGAGTATGTGGGCATGGGGTAGTCCCCTTTTTTGCCACTCAACAGTGTACATGTCACATCTAACAGGCCCGAAAATCTGCCCCTTCACTATTAAGTCCATAAGTTTTCCCAGTTTTAAGCGGAATACGCAGACAGTAATGTCATGTCTGTGAGTGTAATCCTGTCCGGGTAGGAGTTCACGCGTTATCTCAACCCATTTGGGGTTGCAGGTAAACGTTATAAATAAGTCTGGCCGCCCATATTGCCTAACGTATGTCATAGCGTCCTGCGTGCGTTCATGCATGTAACGCCCCCACCCCCCACCCCCAAGTGTAGGTAGAGGGCAGAATGCACAGCTTCCCTAGGTCGCAGGGATTGACTTCATTTCGAAGGCTGTCACGTAAGTGTACGTAGGAGTCTGAGCGCAGCTGTTTCTGATGATTCCGTATAAAACAAAGCCTCTCCGATTCCATCTTAGCGGCCATGTCAACCGCAAACTGGTGGAAAAGCTCCCTGCATCTATGAAGCAGGTTGAAGTCTCCATCCCTAACCATGAACCGGTATGAGTAGAAGGCCTTGCACGATAAGGCTTTGGAAGACGTTGTAGGTTGGCCACCCGGAGTATGAAGGGGAATGCCGAAGTGGTAGCCATCGTCACCATAAGGGAAAAGTAAAGGGTACTGCAATGCGTCATATGATCGATGGGTCTCTGAAATCCTGCGAAGAGCGCCGCCTCTTGATTTGAGGACAATATCGCGGTGCGGTCTTGCTCCCCATGTATAATAATAGCGGCCACTTCGTTGCACGCAGGAGCATTGTAGCGGCGTTCGTGTTCATCATGAGGCCGTTTGTCGGCGTCAATTACAATGCTGAAGGAAGGAAAGGGAGCATTTTCCAAAGCATATTTGAAACTGCGAATGTAGCTGTTAACCTCGTGAAGCATGGCCTGAAGTAGTAGTATGACGTCCCTGCGAGGAACTCTTCCTGACGGCGGCAAAATACCAATCCGGGTTTCGGCCTGTAGGTTGTAGTCTGCAATAAAGTACAGTTGAAGGAATTTAGGCGTAGAGGTCTCCTCAGGCAGCAGAGACCCAATGCGGTGGTATACCTGCCCCTGTACTTTGAAAGTGGGCATCCAACCCTCTTCTCGAACCACCTGAGCCCCAAATGAGGTCATTTGAAAGGAGTTGTTGTATTGCCTAATTGTTTTAAGGAAGTGGTTGGAGTCGGGATGGGAGCCGGCTATTAGTCCCCTCAACGGGGTAGGTGGTTCATGCAGAGGTGGCAGTCAAACTTTGCCGGAGGAGCAGCACAGACCGGCAGGCTCCCCGGCCCATTTGCGGGCTTTGCAGAATTGGCAAACGCAGGTCATGGACCCTACATTGATGTCGTCACGCGTAGTTAAGTTAATGCCGGGGTCGTAATTGAAAGCCAAGAAAGACCAAAAAGAGCTACTGGGATAGGTAACATCACGGGCGGCCGCAAGGCGCTGAATGTCGCCGTCGAGGCGTATGCGGCGAGCTTGGGGAGTTTGAGATAAGCGCACAGCGGCCATGTTTGTAGCAGCCCTTGAAAGTCTGTTTGCCCTTGTCTGTGGGCCCTTGGAGTTTCTGGCAGCAGAAGTCGCTGCAGCGTTGCGGGCATTGCAGGTTGCCCGCTGCAGCTCTGTCTCAGACTACCTCGACCTAGCTGTTGCAGCAGCGTCCCTGGATTGACGGGCGCATTTCGACCTGGCAGTGGTGGCAGCATTTTGAAAATTTCGAACAGACCTACGACCTCAGCAGCCCTAGCGCTCGCTGTTGCAGCAGCGTCCCTGGATTGACGGGCGCGTCTGCGGTCAAATGTTTCAGCTGCCCTCGACCTGGCAGTGGTGGCAGCATTCGTAGCATTTCGCACAGACCTACGGAGCGGTGTCTCAGCAGCCCTAGCGCTCGCTGTTGCAGCAGCGTCCCTGGATTGACGGGCGCGCCTGCGGTCAAGTGTCTCTATTGCCCTTGATTTCGCAGTGGCAGCAGCGTTTCTTACGTTACGAAGAAGCCTTTGATGATGAGTCTCGGAAGCCCGAGATGCAGAGGCGGTTGCTGCAGCCTGTGCGTTCATTCTCGACCGTTGTGCATTCTTGAGCCTTGATCGCAACGAAGCCCTGTAGGCAGCTTTCCCAGCCAAGCAGGTGGCACGCTCCTCTTGTGACTGCGAGGCCTGCGTGAGGGCGCTGCGTTGAGCGACCTGTGATAGTCGCATTGTAGTCTGCTCCTGGGACTCGCGGGCCCTTCTTGCCCTCATAGCGGACGCTCTTGCAGACCGAAGGCTAAGACGTACCCTCCTTTTTGGCGGCATGGGGAAAAGTGATGCTAGTAGTGGTTGATTAGGGTTGCTCAATTGCAGGAGTACAAAGTCTAACTTAGTATCGCAAAGCGTGAGCCAGAATCGGGAAGGCAGGTATTTAAGTAAAACAGCTGAATAAATTGTTTATGGTAGTTGGAAAAATGTAGTTAAACAGACAAACGGAAAACAAAAACGTAAGAAACAACTTGCGGTAGGAGAAATGATCAGTTGAAGGAGCCTATCGTATCAACCGGATGGCGGCGTAACAGGAGCAGAAGTGAGACCTTCGTCCCACAGCTGTGCACAGCAGGTTCAAATGCGAAGTATTACTGGTCAATCGGTGGCGCCAATCAGTGAGCGTCCTAGGGTCTCGAACACTAATCAGCGACCGTGTACTGCACTTAGCCAATGAGATGCCGCTATGTGAATCATGGTCAGGCGTGTGTGAATAACAATCAGCTGTAGAATCTGTAGTGTAGACGTCTCAGTTAAACATAAGTTTGATTGGTGTATTCGCAAATTCCGATGAAGACATGATTGTATCGAATTCCTTCAGCTATTAGTTGGGTAAAAAATTAGCTCAGAGGGCAAATGTTTTTAATTATCACGACTAAAGCCGATAAAGTTAATCAAAATCCCAAGCAAGTTGCGAAATACATCGTAAAATTCCGGTAAATTCGATTTGAATGGGAAGACAAAAGGCGTATGATTTTATCGATTTTTATCCGATAACTGAAACCGATATTGCAAACGAAATTCAGCACCTCAATAATGTCGGTAAATACTATGCTCAACGGGAAATTTGCTGAAAATTCTTCGCCATTTGCGAAAAATATAGCCAAAAATCAGCTAGACTGGACTTGAATCGGATGTCCCAAAGTGATCGATTGTATTGATTTTTTCCAGTAATTGATATCGATATTGAAAATGAATGTCAGCACCTCATAACTGTTGATAAAAACAATGCTCAACGTAATTTTGGTGGAAATTCTTTGCCATGTGCGAATAATATAGCCAAAAATCAGCGTTGCTGGATTTGAATAAGAAATTCAAAATTGGCAGGATGTTATCGAGTTTTCCCGATAATTGATACCGGTATTGAAGAAAAAGGTCAGCAACTAATGACTGTTGATAACTAATGCTCAATATGATTTTTGTGAAAATTCCTTACAGTTTGCAAAAAACGGAGCCAAAAATCAGCTACATTGGATTTGAATCGGATGTGCCAAAGTAATCGATTTATCGATTTCTTCCGATAACTGATACCAATTTTTATAAACATGGAACAGCACCTCAAAACTATACGTAAGGACATTGCTCAACGTGAGTTTCGTGGATATCACTTGTAATTGAACTCTCTGACAAACTTGATGCTGCACTTGTTTCTGTAAATATTACCAATGATATTGAATCATCTTGGAAGGCTCTGCGTGATGCAACATATTCTACATCCTTGGAGGTTCTCGGCCTACCACATCATAAACATCAAGACTGTTTTGATGACAATAATACAGAAGTTCAGCAGCTTATAGATCAATTGTACTCTTCTCATAAAGCATGGATTGAGGACAAGAACTCGTCCAATAAGAAGATTGCTTACAAGAAGTGCAAAAGTCAGGTTCAACGAGCTCTCAGAGCCATGAAAGAGCATTGGTGGTCTGAAAAGGCCACTGAACTCCAAGAAGCTTCAGATAGAAAGGATCTAAAGATAGAAAGGATCTAAAGATAGAAAGGATCTATGCTGGCCTCGAGCATTTTCGGTCCTCAGAAAAGTCATGTTGCTCCTATCTCCACAGCAGATGATGAAACTCTCTTGACAGATAAGTCAGACATTTTAGATCGCTGGAAAGAGCATTTCGAAACAGTTAAACACCACTTCAGTTACTGATGAGGAAGCCATCACATCAATTGAGCAAAATCCTGAAATTCTGGAGTTGTCTTTTGAATCTTAAGCAAGTCTCATCTGGAAAATCACCTGTTCCTAAGGATCCTATTCCACCCAAAGTGTATAAGCATGGTGGCCAAAAATTGGTAAAAAAGTTACGTCTCCTTTTCATGAAGATATGGAAGGCAGGCTGTGTCCCACAGGATTATAAAGACGCTTCTATCAAACACCTCTACAAAAACAAGGGTTCCAGGTTTGTCTGTGATAATCATCAGGGGATATCACATACACAATTCCGGAAAATCCTTGTTGAAAACACAACTATACTTAAACATGAAACCAATAAACAAAAACTAAAAATTCTTGAAGCTATATACATAAAACAGTTGAAACCTAAACAAAATAAACTATGAAATCTCCACAAATATTCTTAAATGCCTATAATTCAAACAAAAACGGACTATCATTATTGTTATGTCCGTGTATTGTTTAATATATTATAATGTAATTGTCATCTTTGATGATGGCTTATAGTAAACCAAAAGCTAAGATAGGATTAAAAAATATTTATCAATATGGTAATTTTCTTTCGTCTTTCAATGATAATGTTATTAAGCTTATCAGACAATATGAAAGGAACTTACATAAAATAAATAGACAAAACTTGTCTATATTATTTAATGAAACATATATATGACATATGTAGTCATTGCACGTGTGTGTTTAATATGCATGTGATGATCCATAGATACTTATTCACAACACCTGCTGTAATTTTTATAATTTTGGTTGTAGCAAAATCCTTGTAATTTTCATGTTAGAAAATTAAATTTTTAAAAAATCTACAGCTGCACAAAATTTTCTTCTGCCTGAAAGCTGAGATTTTAAATGTTTTTAATTGTGTAAATCTTAATGAAAATAAAAGTCAAAAATGTACACAAATCTGTTTGGAAAATTGTATGCATTATCTTATGAGTGGGTGCAGAATTGTTATCCTATACATAAAATTAGGAAAATTTTACAAGTGTCTTTAAAATTTCATCTTTTTATTCTCCCTGCATTCATTGTCTTTTTTTTTTTTTTTTTTTTAAGTGATAACTTTAAAGAGCATGAACATTCAGCTCTTCATATTTAATTTGGAAAGAATTTCACTGAAATTTATGATGGTATAATAATGCAGACACACACGAGATATGGTTTGTGAAATGGTTTTATAAACAGATTTTGTGCTCAAAGAAAATGTTTTGGAAGATTTCCAAACTTGAAAGGCTATTAACTTTGGGGAACATTTGAAACAAAATACAGCACAGGCAACAAACAAACAGGGAATCAACTGAATTTGTAAATAATATTACATTAAGAAAATGTATTCTACATGAACTTAGATAAACAAACAAAAAGCAAATTTCTTGTATATCTTGTTTCTAAATTTATTTCTCTAGGCTGCAACCCTTTTTGCCAAGTTTATGGGTGGCCCTCGATTACTTGGGTAAGTACATTATTTATCTGTAGATTTTTATATGTGAGAGGGTTTATAATCCAGTTTGAATCACTAGGATTTATGTCATCATTTTGACTGGCATGTCCTTTCATCATTTATAGGAATCTTTTTTAAAGTGGAGGATGAAGCCATTGAAATTATTTTCTCAAGAAAAATAATCAGCATCATAATTGTTCTCCTTATACCTCATCATTATGGTGATGTGTGTGTGTGTGTGTGTGTGTACACACTACTTGTGTGCCACTGGGTTCATCAATCCACAGTCACACTTGCAGAAAAATTTAAATTACTACATACCTTTTTTTATCCCTTCATTAAAATCTATATAAAGTGTGTGTATGATATCTAGTAATTTAAAAGTAGAGAAGTTGAACTTTTGATAACAAGGCAACAAAAATAAGGGGACTAATTGTAAAGAATCAATGTTACCTCTTCCCACAACATATTAAGCTCCTGATCTTAAAAACACTATTAATTATGACAATGCTGTGTCATTTGGATTTCATACAAAAAGCCCTTTTCTTTTTTTAACTAAATAACTATAAAGTTTCTCTTTTTTTTTCTTTTTTTTTTTAAGTTAGAAAATATGTAAAATAATTATAAATTATTCCTATTACTAAGAAAAAGAAAACTTTTTTTTTTTTATGTTGAAATACCAGTAGAGCAATTTTATTCCCAAGGTTTAGAGTGGTATGCAACTTCTTTGAACCCTCTCCCAATAGTATAATGATGATTGTAATTTGAAACATTTTCTATAATGATTGAAATTGCTATTGGTGTTCTAAGTAACATTGACTTGTAATTTCCCATTTTCTTGTATTTTATGTTGGTTTTGATATGTTGCTTTTATTTCAATCATAAAGTTGGTAGTTTTTCACTTTCCAGGGAAGAGAGTTTGTGCATGGAATGTGTTAAGCAGCAATGTCACATGATGCGGACCAAACAAAAAATGGAAAAAGATATGAAGTCCATTGCAAATATGATGAAGTTTAATCATGATACGTAAGTTACCTTCCATCTTTTCAACCTTAAACAGAAAAATACTTGTAGATAATGATCACATCCTGACATTTGCAATATTTTTCATTCATTTTGTGTAAAAATACATTTTCATAGGCTTTTTTCTTTTTCCAAAACTACAAAAAGAAAATTGAAAATGTAATAATTTTAATTAAGGAGATTAAAATTTTGTAATAAAATATCTATATTCCAGTTCTACCACTAAATATGCTTTTGTTGCAAATTATTGTATAGACCTTTGGACTTGTGTAATAAAACTGTTTCAATCATTTAATTAGTCAAGATTTGATTATATCTTTAACATAAGTACTAGCAATATTTTGTATTATGTAACAACTTTTATTAAACCAAGAGCCAAGATATTTTTTATCACTTAAGCTAAAATTTCTGAACAATTCCATTTGTTTGACTTGTTCCCTTGTGCAACAATCATTTGCTTTATGAACATGAATGTCCTTGTTGGGCTTCAAAACAAACAAATGCTGAAAATGTCTGCTCCACTTTGTCAAATATCGCAATCATAATTTCTAGTTTTAAATTTTAATTTTTAACATTACAATTGACTTCAGCTTTTTATTGAGGGACCTTTTTAAGCACTAGTCAAAGAATTTTAAATTCTTACCAGGAAAACTTATTTCATGATTATTATTTTTTTTTTTTCCAGTCCTGAATGCTATTGGGTTGGAAAATCCTCATTTCGGAGTTGGCGCAGACTAATGGCAGATAAACTGGAGGAAGTGAAAAAAAAGGAAGAAGACAGTATGAAAGAAGGTACGTTTGAAGTATGGAATGTTCAATTTTCTTTTTCACTTTCACTGAAGTCTATTTAATGGATCTAAGCATGCCAAATCTTCAATGGAGTCTTTCAAGGCTTATTTGTTTTTTTGTTTTTTTTGTTTTTTTCTTTCATCTTTTATTCATGTGAATTCATAGCATCATTATTCAGTTATCAATGTACTTTCTCCTTACACAAAAGGAATTATGCTTCCTTTCTGTGCATTCCATCATGAAAGAACATTTCTAATTCTGATTTAATAAATTCTTTCATGCCTTTAATGTTACAAAAGTAGACTTGTTTTGCGAAGAGAAACAAATTTGAAAGTGACAAACAACTGGAGAATATGCTGCATGTAGAACTTCCCATCCCATCTCCATGATTGTTTACTGCATTTTTGTGAATGAAAGACAGTTTATTGGCATGCAAAATTACTAGTCATCTTCTAGAAAAATGTCTTTTCTTTTCTGTCATTCAAACACACTAATTGCTTGTTATAAAAAAATAAATCTCCTTTTTTTTCCCCCCCTAAAGATTACATTTAGATTAAAGCTGTTCAGGATCTAGTTAAGATTTTCATATGGGATTCTAAGGACTTTTTTTTCTTAAGTCATCCAGAACCCTACTTTCAGAATTTTTCTTTTGAAGCCTTGGAAACAACCTCTGCTATGGTTGAGTGGGTACACAAACAATATAGAGCTGAAAATTCTTCAAGAAATAAAGATTGTGTTAAGATTGCAAAAGCAACAAAGACAACAAAAGGATAAGTTTGTTTGCAAATAAATAAAGTACGTGAATTCTCTTGATTCTTTTTCAGAAAGTGAAAGTACAAATACAACTGTCCCCACAGAAAATGTTCCACATTGGCCAGAAAGTGAAAAATTTAATGATGATCTTCTGTGCCGATCACACCGTGAGTATCTCTCTCTCTCCCTACACTAGTGCAACAGAGAAATTGCTCTTGCATAGCAAAATGTTACAGACCTAAAGGCACTAGGTGTATTAAATAGTAAGATGTATTTTTGATTTGTGAACATTCACAACCAATGACCTACTGGATAATGATTGTCTAGATTTACACAAAAATATTAATAATTAAAAGAAAGTAACTGATAGTCTTTTTTTATTTTTTTTTATTTTAGGTTCTTTGACCCCAGATACACATTGTCGGCGTCTCGTTCCAAAAGATGTCTGGGAAATTCTTAGATCCTATTTTCCAAATTGTCCAGAGTTTAAACGTGATGAACCTGTCTGTGCCAAATGTGTAGTAAGTGTGAAATATTTTGACAACCCAATTATTTATCCTCATACAAAATATTTTGTCTGTTCTTAAGAATTAATACAGACATCATCATCATCATCATCATCCCTGTTTGACTGTTTGTTTCTGTAGCATTCATTTTTATTCTTTCCAGCAGCAACATGTCCTGTCAATGCAGTGACAAGGATCTCATAATATTCTCAGAATATGAAAATATTTTTCTATCAATAAATTATTTGTATGTCTCACTCAAGAGTTTGGTTTCTCTGTTTGTTTTGTTTTTTTTTGTTTTTTTTTCACTCTCTGGCACAAAGATTTCTATGGGCATGCTCATAAATGAAGGAACCACAGATAAAATTGGCCAAAACAAAGAAAATTGAGCATTTGATATAATTTTTATTGAATGCTGCTCAGATTACATGACAATACTAGAAATGGTTTCAAAAAATAATTTTCACCATAAATTTGGGTCAAAATCTTAAATGGGCCCATTTATGGACAAAACCAGATTATTAAAATGAGCTATATGGGACCAGACAATTTTTTTTTATTATATATATATATTGAACAATTCAACATGAATCTTGGTACCATATAGAAAAAGTCCCTAATTTTTCAAAAATTGGGTCCAAATGTTGTAGATTTAGAATATAAATGACAATTTTTGTCATTCATATTCTAAATCTATCAAGAAATGATTCTTATTCTGTAGAAAATTAGATCATATTGGCATTAGTATACAAAAAAGAATAGTTTAAATCTAAATGGGCTTTATTCTAGATATTCTATGACAGCATGTTCACAAATTGTCTAATGAGAATATTTTATTATAGACAGAATTTTTTTTTTTTATCCTAAATTGGGCCAGTTGTTCTTAATGAAAAGATTTGGTGTATTCAGGATTAAGTTTTTAAAGTTGATTACTTGCTACTTGCAACAATGTTCTCTTCCAAATAATATTGATTCTTAATAGTAATCTTTCTTAATATGACATTATTTCCAGTCTCTTAGCCCAACTTTTGATTCTGTTACTTAAGAACCAGTCTCTAAATAAGATGACTTCTCTACTCCCATCTAAGTAATGTTATCTGATTTAACATTTGTTCACAGATAAAGTGATATAGTCAGTGGTATAACAATTACTAATTCATTATTCCTTTATCAAAATATTTGAGTAATTTTTAAACTGTTTTTCTTTAAAATCTTAACAACTCAACTGTTATCTCTTGATTTTCTTGTTATAAAATCATAAGATGGTAATTTTTTTTCCCGCTCCTGCAGCTTCAGAGCCAAGTGGAGCAACAAACAAAGGACCAGAATCGTGAGTGGGCCCTCCAGCAAAAAACAGCTCTCTCTGATCTCTACCATGACAAGAACCGACCTAACATGAGGACAATCAAGTCCCATGTGAATGTTGTCAGTGCCAGTTTTGTAGAAGAATGGCGACGGGCTGTCAAGTATGTATCAAAACAAAAATCTTTTTTTTCTCCTTTAAAGAAATAAACTGCTTGAGAAAATGGTTGCATGTATCATGAGAAAATCCTTATTGTCAACATTCAGATTTCCTGTTCTGTGACTCTTGACTGCTGAAAGAAAGCATTTATAGCCCCTTTTATGTTATTCAGTTAAGTATGAGTGTTCTAACAAGACAGATTCTAATGGACCTTTTTTTTTTTTCTTTTTTCCTCATCAGTGAACAATTTCAAAACATATTCTTCACTAAAGCTAAACAAAGCAGTTGAGAATTGGAATTTTCGTGTCATTTTATAAAGAAATTAAAGCATGATAGTTTATTAAATAAACTTTCTTGGATGGTTATATTAGTGTTTTATTAGTATTACTGCATCTGTTCCATAATAATTATTGCATTCAGTATTTGAAATGTGTATGCAAATATAACAATTATGATGAAACAGATGTGGCATTTTAATTAAAATTGGGGAAAAAATCTTTGGGTCAAGCATGTGATACTCCAGACAACAATTTTTGTAGAAAAACAGAAAAGCATTTATAATTCCCCCCCCCCCAATTATCTTAATAAAACAACCTGAAGAAATGTTTCTTTTTTCTTTTCTTTTTTTTTCTCTCAGAGACCCAATTCGGCGTAGTCCTGTGACAACTGTAAAGAATTCCTCTCTGATTTGTGTCCATGGAGGAATGTTATATGAACCTGATCTCAATGTAGTGACCCTGTGTCAGCAAAGGTGAAAATTAATTCAAATGCTCTTTTATTATAAATTATTGTTTATCTAATTTTTTTTTTTTTTTTTTTCAATGACAGATTTAAAAAAAAAAAAAATGTCCTGATACCCTGAATAGGGTATGAAAACATTTTTTTTTTTTTTTTTTTTTTTTTTGAATTTAACATTTAAGATGAACAAATTTTTATCAGAGCATCAACCAGTCTCCTTTCTCCAATATGCTAGTGAACTCAACAATGTTATTTAATGGCACATACACACACATTCTTAATATGACAGTGTTATGGAACTAGGTTAGGTACAAGTACTGATTGTTTACTGTGTCAAGTTAAAATTAGCCAGTTAGATGCCTCACTTTTGTGTGGGAAATTTAGGTCTTTTGAGACTTTTTTTTTATGATGGAACGCTGATGTCTTCCAGCTAAAAATATGTATTACATAAAAAAATAAGTTTTTGGGTTTGTTTTTTTTTAAACTTGATGAAATTGTTTCATCTACACTTAACTGGCATTGAAAGTGTTATAAAATAAAATAAGACATATCTCGGCTGATTTACAGGCAAATACTCAAGAGCGAGAACCGGATGTGAACGGGACAAAGCCCCGTCACAAAATGACCATTATCTTTCTTCACAAATATTTCCGACACACGTGTTCCGGTCGAAAAATAAAATAATATTTAAAGTGCTCTATTTTTTGTCTAATAAAAATGCTTCCCTCCTAATTATACTCGCTTCGTTTCTCGAGCCTGTTAAGCCATAAAAAAAACGCTATAAAAGGGGTCACAGAGAAGTTCAACAGGTGGCCACAAAGGAGACCGGTCACGTTTAGCAGCTGTCAGCAGGAGAGCGTCAACCACCGTCAACATGTATGAACTACTATGAGAGATCGACCTAGATCCGAAAGCCGGCTTATGAACTTTACCACAAGGTAGCTGTCCCAAACCCTCTCGTTCCTGTTGAAATAAACCACGTAAATCTATTTCTACTGTTGTCTTATTTCTTTCTTGCAACCATACGCTTGTCTATAACACTGGTGTCAGAAGCGTACAGCAAGAGAAATATGGCCGACTACATGAGCTTCACCCAAGCCGAACTATTTACTCTCATCAAGGAACAGAAAACACTACTATTCAACTTGAAAACGGGACCAACACAGCCTTCCGAAGCCACGATACAGGAAATTCAAGCCGACATAAACGACATGCTGACTGCCCTAAAAACTACTTCAACACCTCCCACCGCTCAAACAAACGGTGATTACAGCTTAATGATGCGCCAATGAACTATATGCGACACATTGAAGCTAGAGAAAACTTTTCACCCTGGACACGACATGAACCGATTCATCACGGCCCTAAACAAAGCATACACAATCCACGTCACGCCAGAACTCAGCACCTATCCCAGCCTGGAATGCGAATTCATCAAGTCTGCTAAAGATTTACTGGACCAAAGTATTTTTCAGCAAATGGTTGACTCAAAAAAGGACATATCCACCTTCGAACAACTGAAGGAATACTTATTAGCAGCCCAACACCTCAGTCAAGCCTGGGACCTGGAACGGCGAGACGGCGAAAAATTAACAGACTTCGCGGGTCGGCTCGAAAACACCCTTAGAGAGGCAGCCATCTACCTAAAAAACAAATACAAAAAAGACAAAAATACAGACTTAACAGTCGATGGACTTATTTCCATCATCGGCACTATGCTAATGAGCGAAAAGGTGAAAATTTGGAACTCAAATCTCTACCCACATCTCGTCAAGACAATGGACAACCACTATTCAGCTATTGGCATAGCCTCCGAAGCTCAAATATACCTTGATCGCGATGTAAAATCCAACGACACAACCCGCACGACACTGTGTATTTCACACAGAAACCACAGCGGTCAAACCAAAGAAACGCGCCACTCCGACCCAGCAGGCAACCAAACCCACAGCAGACGGGCATCACCAACCCTCCCGAACATGGCCACCATCCGACATGCAGAAAACATCAGCACACACCACGAATCAGCGTGTGCAAGAACTACCTCAGAGGTCGCCCCTGCCACCATGGACGCAACTGCATATATCGCCACCCACCTCGCACTCGGGCACAGGCCCATATCGCCGCAACGAATGATAATATACAACCCATAAATGATGTGGAACAGGATTTTCGCTTCGGGCTGGACGAGATGTGATGCCTCGTTCGTTATGCCCCTACATCAGCCATCACACCTTCAACTTTCAAGGACTCGCTCACCATTCACCGCTCGTCCAGTCCACCTTCAACTTCAGGGACATCACCTTCTCTGGCGTAGCATTGCTAGACTCTGGATGCTCCACCTGCATCGTATCAATATCTTGGTCACCTAGAGAAGCCAAGAAACTCATGACCCGCTCCAACGTCATAGTAAAAGGAATCAACGGCAGCCCTCGGTGAACTGACTTGCGACATCACCATCGGCAGCCGAGACTCACTCACATTCAAAAAGGTTAACGTGCTGGTAACTACCCAAACCACACCAATCCTGATCGGCCAAAATATCCTACGTCACAACACGCTCAATTCCTATCTAATCGACAACCAAAATGCGACTATAGAATTCAGACGCACACTTTCCTCAGGATATACAACACACACAGCCGCAATCATATCACCGTCATCGTCAACCAACGATCCAGCATATGGCGCCCAAGCTGACATCATCCAAAACCAGCCTACTATGGAACTACAGCCCAACATCCAGACACTGGATCAAAAGCTAACCTGGCTAAAACATAACACGGGACTATCGCTACCAAACCACCCGAACCGAGACGAACTAGAGGCCACTGCAAACTTACTCATTCGCTACGCTGACATTATCGGCACTGAAAGCAGCAGCAAAGGCACATTCATCCGACCCATCCGCCCTACCAACCAACGGCCAGTCTCAAAGCCAGAAACAACACCCGATAGCCCAGGCTTTGGAAGCAGACGTAGATACCAAAATTAAGCGTGTGGCTGAAGGTATCATTGAAAACTGCAGCGACCCCAAAAGGCTTCAATAGCCCTGTATTTGCCGTGCGCAAGAAAAACGGATCGATTATGATGTCGCCAGCTTAACTTTAAAAGAACTCTCAACAAGGTCTTAGTCGATCTTGACCCTTACCCAATGCCAAGGATCGACCACTTGTTCAACAAAATCGCAAAGGCAATAGATATTTTACTACCCTTGATCTACATGGCGGCTACTGGCAAATTGAGATCGAAACCAAGCGAGACCGATACAAAACAGCATTTACATGGAAGGACCAATGCTATCAATACATCGCCTGGCCTTGACACTTACATCTGCCGGACAAATCTTCTCCGTTGCATAGCAGAAGCACTAGCCACGGTCACATCCCGTGACAAAATTTCCTCCTATATCGACGACAACCTGGTCCACACTAGGACATTTAGGGAGTACATACTCTCCCTCGAACAATTTTTTTTACTGCCCTCCGAAAATTCGGGACTCAAGCTGAATCGATAAATGTTCCTTCCCTCGCATCAGAGGCAAAATTCCTCGGACGCATAGTAAACAGCGAAGGATACAAGGCTGATCCAGAATACGTTAAGTGCCATCAGGGAAATGAAACCTCCAACATCAAAAAGGAATTACAAAAGCCTTATCGGCCATTTAGTGTGGATCAGACAATTCCTAGAGACACGTCTTCACGAACAAATCAGGTCAGATATGTTTTCAAAACTTATGGGTCCCATACACGAACTCAACAAGGTTAATAAACCGTTTGTCTGGACGCAAAAAATACCGACAGAGCCTTCAAAAAAATCAAGGACCGTCTCTCTTCACCACCTGTCATCTCGTTTCCAGATTTCTTCAAACTTTTCACACTCACCACCGACGCCAGTGACGTCGCATGTGGAGCAATCTTAATGCAAGAAGCCGACAACGGGAAGAAAGATATCATAGCGGTCGCTTCCAATACATTCAACTCCACGGAACAGAACTGGTCCAATTTACGGAAAGAGAGGCATATGCAATAAAGTGGGCAATATTGAAATTTGATTATTTCCTTCGCAACCCCCTTCGTCATCTTCACCGACCACAGATCGCTGACATATCTGGACCAACGAGAGTTCAATAATGCCAAAATACTGACGATGGCAAGAAGAAATTTCACGTTATAAATTAGTCTTGAATATGTTGATGAGCGAATCAAATGTATGGGCATGTCAGCCCATACATTTGATTCACTGCGGACATAAGAAAACGAAAGCCCCAAACGACCCTACACCGGCAGGCAAGACATTCGAGGTAAGCGGTTCAGACCTCCGCGTATACATCCCATCTTGGTGCCTCGGCGAGTTTAACGATTTACAGCTCATTCCCAAAACTCACACACCACAAAACGCCCGCACCCACAAGCGCGTCACCAACGCATTCTTCGCCTACCATCATCCCCACTGAGAGAATCTGCAACCACCTCGGCATCGCAGACGAACAACAGAAGGACGACGCCCTGGCAAAGATCATCAGCGCCCTCCAGTCACCCACCCCAAGTGAACCTCATATCGATCCTGACGACCACCGAGCTACGCTTTTCAAAAAACATTTCCACCAATTTTTTCTAGAACCAGGCACCTCCGTTTTGATGAGAAGAGACAGTAAACACTCTCAGAGATTGGTTGTACCATACAAACTTCGACCCAGATACCTCTACCAGGCACACGAGGGCAACAACCACTCAGGTGTCACCCGAATCATCAGAACTCCTTTCCAGCTACTGGTGGAATTTAAAACCGCGACATCAAGGCCTATGTCGATTCTTGCGACACGGTGCTAAGTCGCGAGGGAAACTATGGTAGACGTACCCACTGGCCCATTGGCCACTGCAAGCGAGGAAAGAGAACATTCGATCTCGTCTTTATAGACTTTGTCACAATGCCCAACTCAAAGGGAAAAACGTTACATCCTAACCATCTAGGATAGCTTCAGCCGACATTTTACAGCCAGACCATGCGCCGAGAGACCGTGCTATCGACGCCGTCCGCGGATTGTACCATATCTTCCTTCGACACAGAGATTTCCACGATAGTATCCTCTGATCGAGGCACACACTTCACTGGAGAAGTCTATCGACAATTCTGTAACCAGATGTCAATCACGCAAGAACTTCACTGTCCTTGGCGCCCGCAAAGCTCAGGAAATATCGAGAGACAATATCGCACGATGAAGAACGCACTTTATATGTTATGCGAAGACAGAAACTGTGAATGGACAGATGTTCTAGAATCTGTCGTTTCGTCCATGAATGCCACAACCAACAGCGCCACGGTGTCTCCCGCATTATGCCATTACCGGCCGTCACCCCAACATCGGCCTACCTACACTACACAGAAAAAGAAATCACAAGCGACGATACTGGAGCATATGGAATGCAAATTAATGCCCTGCTAAAGCAGGTTCACCACCACGTCACCCTGGCCAACGATGAAGCCAACCACAAACTTGAGACTAACTTAAATCACCTCACATACAAGGACCCAATACAAGTAGGCGACAAGGTTTTTTTTTGCCATTGGCCACACTCAACTGTAGCCCAATCCTCTCATCTGCCCTGGATAGGAAATTACACCATTATAAAAACGAACAATATGATGTGTCAGTTGCAAAACGATGATGGTGATACAATCTGGATTCACCGTGCACATATCCGACGACTGGCTCCACGCCCAACACATCTTTCTAATACAATCCTCTGCCTCCACCATGTAACAGTCACCAGGATCATTCTCCTCTACATCCCTCGGGGACACATAACTCAGCAAATAACCCCATACCAAAACAGATGCCAATAAGAAGAACACGAGGACAACTTCCCACACGCTTCAGAGACTTTATCATGAATTAATCATCCAAATATACACGAATAACGCTCACTGTAAATGAGACCGAGATCTGGGGGAGCCTTGTTATAAAATAAAATAAGACATATCTCGGCTGATTTACAGGCAAATACTCAAGAGCGAGAACCGGATGTGAACGGGACAAAGCCCCGTCACAAAATGACCATTATCTTTCTTCACAAATATTTCCGACACACGTGTTCCGGTCGAAAAATAAAATAATATTTAAAGTGCTCTATTTTTTGTCTAATAAAAATGCTTCCCTCCTAATTATACTCGCTTCGTTTCTCGAGCCTGTTAAGCCATAAAAAAACGCTATAAAAGGGGTCACAGGGAAGTTCAACAGGCAGTCAACAGGTGGCCACAAAGGAGACCGGTCACGTTTAGCAGCTGTCAGCAGGAGAGCGTCCACCACCGTCAACATATGTGAACTACTATGAGAGATCGACCTAGATTCGAAAGCCGCCTTATGAACTTTACCACACCAAGGTAGCTGTCCTAAACCCTTACGTTCCTGTTGAAATAAACCACGTAAATCTATTTCTACTGTTGTCGTATTTCTTTCTTGCAACCATACGCTTGTCTATAACAAAAGCAAATCAAAAACACGTGCATTAACATATTACACCAATGCATATTTATAGTCCACATTGGGAATGAACAAGACGTGTGTGTAACTGAAATGATTTTGCATAAATTGTTGCTTTCCAAGAACCTCTCAACACAAGTTGATTAGAAATTGGACAAAAATTAATCTCAAAAAATGTATTGCACTAAATTAATTGACATTTTAAACACTCCTCAGAATTATTCTCCAATATTTCTTTTGAAGGGAGATTCATGAAAAAAAAGTTTTGAATAAAATTAATAAACTCTATTAATTATACAGCAAATTTAAAGATCATTTTCCTGCAAAGATTTGAAGAAGTGAATTTCTATGTCAATGATTATTTGAAGAAACGTCAACAATTGAACACTGAGATGTATTACTTTTTCATATGTGACATTTGGAGGGTTTTTTTTTTTTTTTTTGTGTGTGTGTGACAAATTACTTTAAGTAAATAGATAAAAATCTTTATTTGAAATGCTTTTTTTTTCTTTTTTCTTAAACCAAGCATGAATTTGTTTAATAGGATTTAATAGCTTTTATAGAGATAAAATAAACTTCCTTCTATATTCATATGTAGAATGAATTTCATTTCACAAATTCACTGAACAGATTTAGTAGAATTTTTTTTAATTACAGTTGACTGTATTCATCTTGGTTAGTGAATTTTAATATATTTTTGTTACAGCATTGCATATCTTTGGCCAGATGAATGGACAATTATTGAAGCCAGCTGCACAGTAGACATTGAAATCAAAGTCTTTAAAGAGCAAGGTGATTCGAATGGTGCCAAAGGATTGCCGACATTAATATGTCAGCCTGGTAAGAAAGTGCTAACTTTTTTCTTTTTTTTCTTTCTTTTTATTGCTATTGTCTTTATTTATTGGAATATATCATCAGAAAAATAATGTAAATATTTTGATAAACCAAAAGTAAGAAAAAGAAATTTTAGCCAAATAAACCCCTTTTTAGAAAAATAAATTGGGAGACAAATATATATTTACTAAATATTATTACACTCATAGAATCTATTCTGATAATTCTGAAAAAAATGAACACATCTCTTGCTGTTTAGATATACAGAAGACAATGATTAACACTGTATTTAAGTTTTTGAAGATCAAAGTTGACAGAAAAGGAAGAAGCCAAAAGAGATTTCCACAAGTGAGGAGTGCTATAGAAGAAACTGTTAGCATAGGATTTACAGTTAGTTACATCTAGCCATTTCAGCTGTACATTGATCAGACTTTGCTGCCAATTTAGTACTGTGCTTAAATTCATAAAATCTAACTTCACACAAAGGAAAGTTCATCAGAACAATTATGGTGAAAGTATTTATAGAAAGGGTACAGGGAAACTACGTTATGGCAGTGGGAAAGGGATTGAAACCAAGATGCCAGGTCAGGACCAATAACATTTCAGATTCTTTGGATTTTATCAAGAATCTCTAAATATACAGCAGGATCACAGGACCAGATGTGGCAGCAATATTCAAAGCAAGGATGAATTTTAGACTTATAAATATGTAAGATGGAGTCAGGCAAGAAAAAATTGTTTATCACAACATAGTGAACCAACTTTCTTAACTAAAGTTTTTAAAATTGGTTGTCCAAAGTAAGTTGACCAAAAATATATTTTTAACTTAGATGTAATTTTGAAGAAGAAAAGGAAAAAATCACATAGACAATAATAAAGACGCCCCTCATTAATATTTGGCTGCACCTCCTTTGACAGTGATGACTGCATTCAAATGTTTCTGGTAGCCATCTAGAAGCATCTTGTACTTCTCAGATGGTATTTTCTTCCTTTGCAATTTGGCTTTTTAAAACATTGAAGTCCTCATTTATTAGTTAATTCCTGTCTTGTGAGCACTGACAGCTTATCAAAGTCTTTTCTAATTTTAATATATGTGACATTTGGAGGTTGTTTTTTTTTTTTTTGTGTGTGTGTGTGTTTTACTCATTTTTTTTTTCCTTTAGGGTGCTAATACCAGTATCAATAATCTTTCAGTTTTAGTATTTTTTTCTTGCTATTGCTTCTTTTAAAATTGTTCTTTTATCATTTACTGTTCTTTATTAACCATGAGTTGTCAACCAAAACTGTTTCCCTAGATTCTTTTCTAGGATATTCTACATTATGTACTGAAATTTCATGGGTGCCAATAATTGTGTCCAGGACAGTATATAACTTTTCTAAGCACCATAAAATGCTTGTCCCTTAAACTAACAAGCACTTAATGCTATTTCTAAACTAGCATAGACATATGTGCAATACAATTTGTTTTGTGATGTATTCTTACTGTATTGTCTTTAAGGCTGTCATTTAGCTTAATCCTAACAAAACTAAAATAGCAGTGCCCATGAGAATTTGCCATCAGCATCTTTTATAGTTATTTATTTTCAATAAATGGCAATTTCCTATTTTTCTCAAAACTAACCAGGTAAAGTGTTAAATTCAATTCTTAAATAAATGGGTCATTAATTTGACTTCTGCACGCACACATCAAATCAGTGAAAAAAAAAACGAAAAGTTTCCTTCCAAACATTTTATATAAAAGTTTGTCTGAAAAGTAAAATATTTTGAAGAAAAATGTTTGTTTGTTTCAGCTGTTTGCACCGATTGTTTTGTTGCTCGACTGCAGCAGGAAGAGCAACAACGGTTTGAATATACAGAGGCAAAAATCTATGTTCGCAAAGTCTTGAAGGATTGGCAACAATTGCAGACAACAATGGGCTACACAAACCTTGGAAAGTCTGCATCTGATGACACAAATGATAAAGATGATCCAGAATTTGTGCAGGTGCCAAATACAAGTTATTTTTCTTTTTAGATCTTTAATTTTCTCTCTTTACATGACTATATGGCAAGCAGTATAAAATCTGTTTGCAAAATTACTCTTATTACTCTATTAACGGCAATTAGTACTCAATTAGCAACACCATATTTACTGCACTAATAAGCAATCACCTATTTTCCAGGTTTATTATTTTATATATACACATATATACATATATATATATATATATATATATATATATATATATATATATATAGTGCATTTAGACAGCAATCCTTCATTTATGCATGTTTTATTAAAAACGACAGACAAGGTACTATGGTTAAGCTTTTTATTTAGGCTTTCTTGTGTTCGAACAAGAGCTTTCTGTTCTATAGTTCCAAGCGCTTTCAGCTATACTTTTAGCCATTATCAAGGATGATTTTATTTTTTCAGTTTTCAGAACTATAGAACATTTGGACAGATTCTACACACACTGTGTCCGAAAAAGAAAAAGCTCTTGTTCAAACACAAGAAAAACTTAAATAAAATGCTTAACCATAGTATTGTCTGTCATTTTTAATGAAATTATATATATATATATATATATATATATATATATATATATATATATATATATATATGATTAAACATTGTCAGCATTTTTAGTAATTCACTGAAAAAGTAGACCATTTTCAAATTTAACGAGAAAATATCCATTAAAAAAATTACAAAAAAAAAAAGGCATTTTTAGCTTCAAAAATTCATTTTTTTTTTTTTTTTTTTTTTTTTTTTAAATGTAATCTGCTTCATTTTCAGAGTGGGAGCAAAAAGACCAAGCTTTCTGGGGGAGCTATACCTGTTGCCACAGAGGCTGATGCCACCACCACACCTGCCACTGCCACACCTGCAGAGAATCTTACTGCTTCTACTGAGAACAATAAAGTCTTGCTTCTGAGTGCTGCTGAGAGTTGTGTGAGACGAAGCCATCGACATCGAAGGATGCGGGGTGAAAAAGAAGTGATGGTTTCTTCAACTCACACTCTTCATTTGAAGCTGCAGGTAAAAGAAACTGAACAAACAGTGGATTCTCTACACTCCATCTCAAACTCATAGCCATAGTCATCTCTAAAGGGATTGACAGGAAAACTCATCATCACTATAGACCCCAATATTGTCATTATCTTTATCAGATACCTGTCAGTCCAAGCCAACATCGGCATGCAGACAGAACAGAATGTTTTACTTACAGCTGTTGAATCTTATCCAGAATTCTTGGCCAGCAAATGTGTATTATTTGCTGGCCAAGAATTCCAGAAGGATGAAACAGTTTTTAATTTGTTAAATACAATGTATGTCTCTACTTCAGTCTGTAGTTATTGTGACAAGATGAGAAAAATAGATTTGAGTCATGTCTTGACAGACAGCAATGTTGAACCTCAATTGACATGGACTGACCAATAACAACTGGGAATTAGAAAGGGGACATGCTTTGATTAATATTCTAGATAAAGGTTATTAATCACTGTCTTGTGGTATGTCAACTGACTTTCCTAGTGTCTTTTGACACATCATCACCTTCCCCAATCCATACCCTTTTCAGAAATATTAAAAAATTATGTATTGTTTTAAAATTTCCCTTTTAAATCCAAAATTCTAATATCTTACCATTTTTGTTGATACACTGATGTTTTGTTTTTACTGATGTCAATTTAAATTTAAGTCGCGGATGTGATTTATGATTTTTGATTTGACATTTTCAAAGATCACAAATGGATATCTGATTAAATTTTTCATTTGAGTTTATTTCTTCAATAATTTTGAAAACTGATTTAGTCTAAATTTTTTTTATTTGTGGCTATCTTTCATTGTATTTTTTCAAACTGAAGCCTTGTTGGTGATACTGCTGCTATAAACACATCAAGCAAAGATTTACTGTCTTTTCTTACTAGATATGAAACTGATGTTAGCCTTTATGTTAATGTTTCAAAAAATAAATGTATGGGAACTAACAAGAACAGACAACTTTCTGTATTACAATTTATAAGCTTCAAAATTCCTTTACTTTTGTCATGCATAAATGAAGAGACAGTTGCTGTTCAGCATAGGATTTGCTTAAGGTGTATTTCCTTTGAGAAGAATAAAGAAATACATCTAACTGAATCTCCTATAGCAAAAAATAAAAAAATCTAACTTTTTTTTTCCCCACTAATCACTGTAAGCAATACAATAAAGCCACTAAGATGGAAGTGGTTACTGAGTGTTAGAGAATATTAGAAAAAGTAAATATAATTAAGAAAGGAAAGAGCAATAAAAGAACATTAAGAAGACTGAAGATAACGATTGACATTGCATTTAAATTTTTGAAGATCAAAGTTGACTGGAACAAACACAAGAAGTTGGAAGAGAGTTCCACAAGTAAGTTTGAGAGAAGAAACTCTTAGCATAGAACTTATGGTTACATCTAGCCATTTCAACTGTAAAATGCTGAGACCTAGCTGCCAATCTAGTAGTGCGCTTAAATTCATAAAGTATAGGAACCATAAAGGAAAGTTTATTAGAACAATTACCATGAAAGTATTTATAGAAAAAACACAGGAAAGCTACATTAAAACAGTGGGAAATTAACTGAAGCAGAGATGCCAGGTCAGAACCAATAACATTGCAGAGTCTTATATTTCATCAAGAAGTTCTAAATACATAGCAGAAGGATTAGACCAGATGTGACGGCAATATTCAATGCAAGGATGAATGGTAGACTTAACAATGTGTAAGATTAGATTTCAGAGAGAAAAATTGTCTAGCATGATACATTGAACCAATTTTCTTAGCAGACTGAGCAATTGATTTGATATAAACTTTCCATTTCATGTCAGCAGAAAATATTAACCCAAGAAGATGCAAGGTGTCACTCACAATCTGAACAGAAATCTATTATTTGCTTCTATAACATTTACCTTCATCACAAATGTTATGCACATATTTAAAAAAAAAAAAAACCTGACATACAAAGACAATTAGGATTTAGAATCTGCACAACTGACTTTAGTTTAACCTTTTTTTGGCTATCATACAATTGTATTTTCTTGTTCAATGTAATCTGAGCTTTTAAAATAACTGTCAGGGATCTCCAAAGGCCATTATGTTTGTGTGATAGTTTATCTGGTCTCATTTAGAAATTATTTGAAAGTTCAGTAATTTGAAGAAACTAAAATGGATTACAGATATTTCAATTAAGTATTGATGGACAAACATTCTTTCCCAATGTCATAAATGCCTAAATAGTGTATTGTCCTTCCACCCACCTGAAAACTGTTCTTCTCATTTCAGATCATGAAGATATTTTCTGTGCCGCCATTTGACCAAAATCTCCATTTCAATGGCAGTTGTCTTGTAGATGAGACAGCCACCCTTGGCCAGTTGAAGATCTTTCCTGGATGTATTATCTTCCTCAAGGTGGGTATGACCAGTTGACACTCTGGCTGCATCTTTTTCTCGTCAAGAAAGCACTAAATACAATTGTCACACTTGATGAATTTGAAGCAAATATAATCTTGGTTATTGGAATTTAAAAATTTACTCTTTTTGCACACACACATACATACATAATACACTTATGTTTTTAATGTTGACAAAAATGTACAATGTCTTTATTTTAGAAACAGAATCGCATCTTTTATAAATATACAAAATATTTTCTGTTGTAACATTTGAGAAATATTATGTGATATTTTGTATATGTTCATATATACATAATAGGGCATTAAAAAGTTAGAAGAGATTTAATGTGTGTGTGCTCACACACACACGCGCACAAATGAAAAAAAAATTGGGAAACATTAAATCTAGCAAAGAACTTATGCAAATTTCATCAGTTTTAAAACTGAATCAAATTTAAGTCAAGTTAGCAAATTGGGTCATAGGAAGGAAGACAGGCTATCTACACTATTCAAAAAATTGTCCTCATTTGCATTGTCATATTCACATTATTTGGGCCATTGTATGTTCCAGCCTTCTTCAAGTGATATACATTGGAATTTCAAACCCTTTATTTTATCCACCAAGGTAGAATGTTCTAGTTCCACATACCATGCCTTTTCAGGATATCTCATTTTCAGTTAATTTCCTTTAGTAAACAAAAACTTGAATTAAGTTTTTGTTCGCCTTTGCTGTGGTAAGGTATTGAACTCACAAGTCTTTGGGTTACTCCAACCAACACTTTTATCCACTGTAAAAAATAATGTCTTCTTTTTTTTTTTTTTAATATCTAATTCAATTCAGGCTGATGAACCTCCACAAGATGCAATGGTTGTAGAGGATATACTCAGTGGTGAGTGTTTTTTTTTTTCCAGTTTTGCTTGCCAAACTTTTGGAAACGTTTTCACAAAATTTAAGTTTCTTAATGCATTTCTCTTTTACAGATAAATCAATCAAAAAAATGTGATTCTCTTGACATTTTTGTAAATACTGATGCGAATTTCAAGTAAATTCTTCTGTTTTGTTAAGCTGGTCTTTCCACTTTAAATTATTCAATGAAGACGTTTCCAAGAAATTTGTCTACACAATGAAGGCATCCATTTATGAATATAAAAATTGGGTTTTTAGTTTTCCTGTTTCCAATTTTTTTCTCATTTTCCTTTTGAGATTTGAATAAATCTGCAGATAACTAAATCACTGCTTCTTTTTCCTTAGTAGAAAACTTCAGTTTTACCTTTTTGTTTTTGAAATGTCCATTTTTTTTTTTTTTTTTTTTTTTTTTAGGGAGGTGGGGATTCTAAGCATTTGTCAATAGACCCCCATCTTCATCTGTTAGGAAATTGTCCCACATTCATTACTACTATATACAAGAATAGATATTACATTTATTAGTCAAGCAGTCTTTTCTTTGTTCCTAATAACATTTGCCTATCTCTTAATACTTTTGGTTTCTGAAAAACATTTTTAGCTATTCTTGTATAGCTTCAGGTTTCCATCACACACGGCCCAGATATTTAAATTTCTGCATCTCCTTAATATTGATGTCCCCGATACATTGTTTGTCTCTTTTGCTGATGACCAATGCATTCTGTTTTCTTACATTTAATAATTAATGAGTATTTCAGTTTTCTCCACACATCTCATGATGTTAAGATTATGTTCACTGATAATAAATCCTGCTCAGTCTTTTAGTCTTCTTAGGATTATCTTATAGGTTAAAAAAATCTGTTGAGAAGACCCATTCTTATCTTACTCCTCTTTTTATTTTTGTGTATTCACTAAACCTGTTCTCTATCTACATGCAAGCTCTTTGTTCTCATGGGTTACTCTATCCTTCCCATGTAAATCAAACTTTTCTAGTGTTCAAGCAGCTCTTCATATCCTACTAAATCAAGTGCCTTTGTTTAATCTATGCAGATGTCATTTTGCATTTGGATTGTTTGCTCTGATAACATTCTGATCATAAAAATAACTTTTCTTGTCCTGGTATCTCGAACAAACACATACTATTTTTAGTGTTTCTGGTTTCATTCTACTTGGAAATAGAATTTTAAGGATTATTTCTGTGGCTCATCAAGTTGATTGTTCAATGGAAGTTTGCATTCATTTGTATCTGATTTCTTTATCACAATTACTTCAATATTTCATTATTTATTTCATTTGTCATTTCAGTAAAACCCAAAATCGTCTATGGTTGATGTTCTCATCAACACCAAATAAACACTCAAATTTTGGAATAATGATAATGTTAATACGCTAAAAATATTTATTTTTTTTTTAAGGTACCTTTTTGAAATGCTAAAAACTTAAAATTTTTTTCTCAGTTTTAATAATTTCTTGAGAATTCAATTTGCTGGTTTGGTAATCAGAGATTCAAAAGAGATATACGCTTCAACACTTCAGCCTCACATTAAATGAAGCAAATATTATGAAGGTTTACCGAATTAACTTTCCGAAATACTGTATGCAAAAATATTAAAGATTGAACCTTAATTTACATACGTTTTATTATTCTCTATTTTTTTGTTATATGTTCAAAGTTTATTTTATTTTTACTTCATCAAAATTGTAAGTGTCTTGCTTTTTATTAGATTGTTCAGAAAATAATGTCTGACTTTAGAATAAACCTTTTGTGTTTGAATATATTATTATAACACTTGCATAAAAATGTTACTCATTTCCAATGATTAAAGTTTCCTCTTTGTTAATTTTATGTTAATCAGTTTCAGAATTTAACTTAAAACATGATATACCCTTCATCTTGAATATGAACAAAAAAAGATGCATTTACTTGCATGAGTTCAAGCTTAGTCATTATGCTTCTCAAACTGCTTCCAACATTAATAGAGCATGGGATGAAATATCCACTGGTGATCGGTCAGTACAAAGCTGGTCTCTGAAGTTTTTGTAGTCGGGGAAACTAGTGTTGAAGATCAAGATGGTAGAGGATGTCTCATCTGCAAATTGACAATTAACATCTGAAAACACTAGTCGAATAAAACCCACATCAAAGTGACTGAGAAATGTATTAGATGATGGGTGTCAGCATTTTAATAATATCGGACCATCTAAAAAATTGGGCAAAGTGGAGAAATTCAATAAAGGGTTCCATACGAACTCGGTGATGGTCAAAGAATTTGACCTTTTGATGTGTGTTTGATGCCGCATCTGTAAAATTCAAATAATCCATTTTTTGATCAAATATTGAATTGTGATGAGAAATGAATCCTTTATGGCAATCATAAATGGTTTCCTCATAACAAAAGACACAAACACTTTTCCCAAATCAAAATTGCACCAATAGAAGATTATGTTTGCATCATCCATTTACAGCTTTCTGGAATCTAACCAGAAGTTTATTGCCAGCAACTGGATGAAATGCATTCAGTTAAGTAAAATGCAACCATCACTGGTTAATCGGCGAGAGGTGCAGTTCTGCTTCATGCTCGGTCCCATGTTGACAGGATGACACTGGAGAAGCTCAATGACTTGAGATACAAGACTTTGCCACACCCACTATATTACCCATCCCATTCCAAAGAAGATGCAGAAATTACATTCAAAGATTTCCTAGTGTTTGAAACTTTAGAGTTTTATCATAAAGGCATAGATAACCTCGTAACTCAATGGCAGAAATGTGTAGATGTTCATGGTTCCTATTTTGACTGATTTAATCACGGCTCAAATACATTATTTTAATCACGGCTCAAATACATTATTTTAATCACGGCTCAAATACATTATTTTAATCACGGCTCAAATACATTATTTCAGGAATAAACATTGAATTCTAAAATCTGACATTATTTTTCCAAACAATCCAATAAGTTTTACTGACTTTGAAATAATTTCAGAAAAACAAACATTGGTTTTGATTTCTTCTGAATACAGCTTTCATCTGCTAGCATAAAACTGATGAACTTAATTTTGACCAGATATTGATATGTGATTGATATATATATATATATATATATATATATATATATATATATATATATATAAATATATAATTTCTTTTTTTTTTTTTTTTTTTTTTTCTCCAGTTTCTGATTATGGTGAGGAAGGCTTTAAAGGAACAGGTTTACTCAGCAGATAATAATGAATAGACTTCTGAGGGAATCTTTCATCCCACCAACTGTGAGAGAATGTGCTGGTGTGTCTGTGTGGGCGTTTTCTCTCTCCTTTCCTTCCCCCTCCCCCACCTTCTTGTGAAATAAACATGCACAAATCCAACCAAGGGACACGTATGATTTTTTCCCCCCCACTACCACTTCTTCACCTTCCTCTTCCACTCTCTCTCTCTCTGTCCCAACCACACTCTGCAACTCTTCTCTCTCTCTCTCTCTCTCTTCCACATTATTCAAACTTCAGTTTATTTGACTTACAAGCACTTTGAAAATGAAAAAATGAAATCAACAAGAGAAAGTCTTCTTTTTAATAAAAAAAAACAAACAAAAAAACAAATGCCATAAATTGTTGGTTAAAATTGGACTCAATCCAAACCGACTTGAGAGCCTAGGAATTTCTATGGTAATTCTATTATCAATTATGGATCTGACAATTCTTAATATTAAAAATCAATATTTATTGATTGATCTCTGTTTCTGCTTCAAACTTTCCTTTATAACTCCTCCCCTCCCACTTATTAATGTTAAAACTGCACAAGTCAGTTATTTTATTTTTAATAAAATTCCCACAGTTCAATGTGGTATAAGGTATGAAAGTTAAATCTATTCACTTTCATGAGGAAGTGAACATATTCAATTTTCATTTTTCTACTCAAACTGAAGCAATTCACTTATACTATAAACAAATTGTATATTCATCTTTAAAATGAAGTGAGTTGAGATATTTTCACTTGGAAATAAATTTGCATGGTTTACTTATATAAGCTGCTTGAATTTGAAATTATTACTAGCAGTATTTTTTTGTTTGTTTGTAGACATGTAAGATTTTTGAGATTATCTACTTTAAAACAGCCATCTCCTCCCACTTCATGTAATGTTTGGATCCTGGGTTAAAGTTTATTAAATATTTAGGTTCAACAGAAATATATTTGTCTTTCCCATTAAAAAAAAAAAAATCTATAAAAGGATCAGATTATTAAAAATAAATAAATGAAGTGGTCCTCCATTTTGTTGATGTACCAACTAATATGTAGATATATTTGTAGTTACAGAAGTCAATTTTTAAGGTTTGCAACAAAAAAAAAAGACAGATTAAAATCTAAGCTTGTGATTGGACCTTAAACAAGTTTTATTGTTTTTATTCATTTCACACAAAAGTAGGAGGGGAGGTTCTTTTTGTCTGGAAGTTTGTTTTTTTTTTTTTTTTTTTTTTTAAAGCAACATTTAATCTGTTTGTGTCATTAAACTGGAATAGAGACACCAGTGAAGAAAGCACATCATTCAGCTTTAATTTTAATAAAATCTTTTAGGCTTGATGCACAAGTTCACAAGAATTTTTTTTTTTTAAATCTTAGACTTAATTTTAAAAAACTTATCCAGTAAAACATTTTCTTTGATTTTCTTATATTAATTTTCTATATTTCAATCTCCATTTTCAAACAAATTGAGATTGGTGCTACTCACTCATCTGACTTTGTCTGCCTGTCTGTAACTACTCTTTACAGACAGACAACATGATTCACACACACAAAAGCTTTAACTTCATTGCATTTGACACAAAGATACAAAACTTAGATTCAAAAACTAGTTTTGTATTCTTTCCCAAATAAAGGATGATTTAAATCTCACTTCAAACCAATTTTTAAGATTACTTTAGAATACAAATGTTTTAATAGTAACTGTGTCCAATTAAATTATGTTTGTTTTCAGTTTTATTACTAACTCCAGCTTTAATTCTGTTTTGCAAATCACATATAAAAATGTTTACTTAGAAAAAATGAATAATGGGAACTTTTTTTACTTTGAGCCATTTTAAAATCTCTTGTTCCCCATAACTGCATTAAAAAGTTTGTTTTTTTTTTCATTGCAAATTTGTTAGCAAAATCCCATAGCTTCTAATTAAACTTTATTTTCTTCCCTCCTCTTCTCTTCCACCACCTGATTACCTCAGAGGTGTTGGCCAAGACTTACTGAAATTTAGAATGGCATCAACAACTGACCCATTTTATAAAAAGTTTGTTTTATTTTTAAATAAGATAAAGTTTGAATAATATTTGCCTTGAACTGAAAGAGTATATTCTCTATCTTGTGATAACATGACAAATCCAAAATCACTTTTTTGTGAAGTGGCAAAGTCTAAACAGCATTATTTATAAGATTCGATAATTGTATGATTTTAAAAAGTACAGTGTGTGGCAGAAATATCCCTTACATAATGTTAAAACATTTTGGTGTCTTCATAGAGCTGTCTTACCATTGTGTGGGAAGTGTATGCAGGAGGGGTATTTTTGCTGCACCCTGTATTAATAGAAAATGCTTCCAAAATCAAAACCATAACATCATTAATGAAACTCATCTTTTTAGCCAATGCATCAACACTTAATTTGGTTTTCTAGCTGGTTTTATTTTGCTTATGCTATTAATGTCTGCAATTCTTCAAAATGGAAAAACTATTTTGAGAATTGCCGCCTAAAACAACTGACAATTTATTTCCAGTTTAAAGTGTGGCCAAGGATTTCTTTTCTTTGCCCCCACATAGTCGTATATTTTTCCACTGAAATTATTGGTAAGTCCTGTTCCTCCTCCTAAATGAAAATTCAAAGTGCTTTTGTTAAATCTGCTGATTTAGGAAATGATTTGTAATGCACTCATTTTCAAAGCAGAGCAAATCTGACAAATTCTTAGCAAACACTTTCTATTGAAAGAGTAACTTCTGGAAATGGGTTAATGGAGAAATTCATTTTGTTATCATCCCCCTTCCCTATCAAATCTCTTTCTTCATCTCAAAGTGGTTGAAAACAAACAAATAAAAACAAAATGTATGATTGAATAAACAAAAAAGTGTATTTTTCAATTGATTTGTTGTTGTTTTGTTCTTGGTTTTCTTTTTCTCAAAATGAAAAATAGAAATGGTTTTAATTTTAAATTAAAACAAAAAAAATTCTTTTTTCCATAATTTACGATGATGTTACTTGAGTTTGGGTTTTTCAAAAATTAAGTTTTTTATAAAAATATTTTTTTTTAATATTTTAATAAACCAAAATTGATAACTGTCAATTCATCACTTGTCTCTCGGGTACCATTTTCTTACCCAACACTGTTCAAAACACTTGATTTCTTTAAATGAGCTGAAAAACACACCTGTGCTGCTTTTAAGTTAGCACAAAAATAGTTTCTACATTCTTAAAATAGAAATTTTCATTAGTTTTATTTTGTGACTGATTAGGTATTGAATACCTTTGTGCAGTATGTATAGAAAGCTTTCTAATATTGATTTGATTGTCATGATATATTTTGGATGAATATTGTATTAGAATAAAAACAAATATTTACAATCAATATTATATTCTCCACCCCTGTGTTTAAAGACAATGGTTTTACTATTATACATTGATTGTTAACAAAATGAAACCCAGCCCAATGGATGAAATAAAAGATGGGGTACTTTTTCTATTTAATTTCCTTTTTTTTTTGCAAGCCACACTTGATAGTCTTTCTCTATCAAGTCCAATGTGTCTTGTGGATCTCAGTGTGAAAGAGGAGTGGGTTAGAAAAGTTTTGAACTTTTCAAATTCCTTAAATCAATTTAGTATCAAGAACACATACACATGAAAAACTGAACATCTCTCTGAATTTGGTTGGTTATTAAACAATAATCTACAAAACATTGCTTTCAAAAGAAACCCTTTGTCTGAATCTCACTAAAATTCAAATGAAACAAAATATTTGGTATTGTTCTTTTATGGTCTCTCAATTTAGACAAGTGATGAAAGGTCGGGTCCATCCTACTGGTGCAAATCCATTTATCCATATTATTAAAGGGATGGTGGAAGTGATGGGCTATTTTCAAGTTCACCTTGTGCCAATTATTTTTCATTTTACCTTCCATCACAAAAGAGTGAAACTGATCTGAAAGAATAGATAAAAATGAAAAACTAAAAGCCAATTCCTTTTTACAAAAGGAAAGAACACAACTATATTTGTGTTTGATTTTTTTTATTTGTAAAAAATAAGGCACTATTCAACATTAGAGAGAAAAAAAAATAGAAAATAATTTTTTTTTTTTTTTTTTTTTTTTTTTTTTTTAAATAAAGAAATGAACATTTCTAAGTTGTGAAAATGCAGCCTGGTATCAGAAAAACCTAATAGCCTAACAAAAAAGAAATTAGATTAAAGGATAAAATGAAAATAATTCTTTGAATCTCTGGATTTATCTTCAATCGTTTTAAGAAGTAAAATCTATGGAAAGTCTTAACTCATTGGGACTGACTTTTTCTACTTGGAAATGTCAATTTCTCTTTTGAACAGGAAACGGGAAGGAGCTTTTATAGAAGATCAAATTCTGTATATGACATTACAAAAAATAAAATTTTCTTTTGGATAAAGTGAATTGAATATCTTTATGCTGAAAAATTATCCAGGTGTTTATTCACCACCACCTTGAAATTTCTAACAAACTCTAACATAGTTTTCATTCTCACAAACCTTTTTTTTTTTTTTTTTTACAAAGAAAAAAATGAATTATGGATTTGAGATAGAATTTTCTCTATTTGCTAAACATTTCATAATAAAAAAAAAACTTACTTCTAAAAATTGGTTGAATTTACAAGGTACTTTTTGTTCAGTTCATTATTTAAATTAAACTCAAATTTCTTATAGCATGGCTTTTATCACAAATAGTTTTTAGACAAAGAAAAATGTATCAATTTCTTATTCATTTACTGAATTAAATTTGGAAAATAATCATTAAAGTTATTGGCTAGTGGCATTAAATCTTGTTTCTCTGAAATAACTTTAGTCCTTCATATTTTATGGAGGAGTAAAATTTTGCTGTTAAGAATCTGTAAATGATTATTATTTCTGAAACAATCTTCCCAGCAATGTAAAAGATCCAAATGTAAATCCTTTCAGAAAATATTTTTGAATGGCCAATAATGAAGGAAGAATTCAGCTAATAATTGTTAAAATATTTAAATGAGATTCCTGTATAGTCAGTAACAAAATCACTAACCAAAATGTAAATGCAGTTGATAAATGGTTAAAATTTCAACCTTCAAATTTGTTTCATTATTTAAAAGCAAATTCTGATATATTTTTATGACTTGACCAATTGGATTCAAACATGTTGATTTAATTAACAAGACTTAATAAATCTAGTGATAAACATTATAAATTTCATACAGCTTTAGGCTTTTCTTATATAGAAATAATTAGAAAATTTAGCTTATATTAATATTTCTAAATAAAAAAAAGTATAAATTATACCACA